GAGCGCACGTCGTTGTATGCACCCTGACCAAGAGACACGTCTCTGTTCCCAAGCAGTCCTTCATAGAAACTGCGCAGCGACGACATGACGTCGACATTGGACTCCAGGACCATGCCGATCTCTTTCGTTCGGTCCTCGTAGAACTGGAGATTTTGCAGGTTGTCGGTCGTATAGTTCCGGACATTTCTCCGTCCACGGAATTCGGCGCTGGTGTTGCCCAGACGAATCTGTCTCTTTAGCTGGAGCTGGATGGACCGTTGAACCAAACATACCTCCTGGTGGACAAGCCCCTCGATCCACTGGATGTACCAACGCCACTCCCCAGCTGCCCACTGACAGCAGAGCAAGTGCGTCGACAAGCTCGTTCTGAAGCAATCACCCAGGGTGGAAAAGGCTTTGGGGTCCTTATTCAGAAGCTCACCGGCCATTTCCTTCACCAGGTCCTGGACGTCATGCTGGCTTTCCGTCACGATCCACACGGCAGTCCCTTCCAGCACATCGAACTGGTGGTGGAAGGCCGCTTGCCGAATGTTCCATTGTCTCGCTTCCGCAGGCACCTCCGGGCCATCCTCCGGCGTCACCTCACCCACCGACTTGAGATTGTAGCAGAGTTGGTATTGGCAGCCGCTCCGGCCAAAGCCGGGTATGCTGAGTGCACGTTCCGGCGGAGCAAGGAGCACCTGTTCGCGGAAACCGCTGACCCTGAGATCCTGAAACTCATTCTGCGAGCCAAATACCAGGACGAAGTCGAGATAGGATGGCATCACCTGATGGTAGGTGAAGATCCGTGTCATCATTTTTCGTGTGATCTCCAACGGGCTCTGGGAGTCCCTCGCGCCGATCAGACTGCCCACATTAGCAGGGAGAATGGCAGCAGTATGGCGGCTTACACAAAGCGGCATTTCGGATCTCGTTTTGTCGCCGGCTCGCCAACAGATCCTCTCCTATCCAGGGCGGCGCCGGATTCGTCTCCTAACCAGTCCTTGAGATAATCGTCGCTGCGAATGTTGTATTTCTCCAGCTCTATGAGATGTCAGACTGCGAGCATCGTATCCCATCTGACATACCTTCGCCATGTTGTCCACGAAAGTCCCTGAACAGGACTTCAGTATCCAGTTCATCTTCGCTGAAGATTCGGAACTCCGCGTCATCCAGGCGCTTTGCATATGTCCGCAGGGCACCTGCATAGGTTCCTTTGTGAATGAGATTTGTGGGGTACTCCTCAAAGTTGTAAAGCGAGTCGCTGAAAGCGCTCGGTATCTTCCTCGTAGCCATTGGAACGCCCATTGGAATGCAGGTAGACGAGATGAATGATGGCTATGCAATGCATTCCGGTCAAAGCCGAAGCCAGCATACTTAAGGCTCGCCCCAAATATCGCATTGCATGATCTTCTCTCCGAGTACCCGTGGCACAGGCATAGACAGCCACGCGGAGGTGTACATGTCCAGTGCGGCGTGGCTCCAATGGGCGTAAGGCTGCGATTGACGCCTTGGCGCATCTAAGACGAGGCGACAGAGCGGCCCCAACTCACAGCATAAATACACTCTCCTCCGTCTCGGTTGGGCTGGTTTTACAGCCTGGATTGACAAGTGGGGCAGCGTGAGTGTTGGCCGTTGCGGAACGTTGCATGCAGACGTAAACATTGCTGAATGGCAGCGAGTTCTGTGTTGATACGACGAGAAAGGGAATTGTTGGCAGCCGGGTGGTGTGCTAATGCACGGCACGATGATGAACTGGCCAATGCCTGTTGTGCCGGAGAATATCTAGCTTTGGCGTTAGTTGGTTGGTACAATTCGGCTTATATGCGCTGTCTTCAACTCGTGAACATCTTGCTGTCTGCATTTTGACCGGGCATGCAATGAGCGGGGTTTGTTTTAAACTCGTGGTCCCATGGAGACCTGAAGTTGATAGCCTGTGACTGCAGGTCATGATCTAGAGCCCGATGAGAAGGAACTGCAACATGCTAAGATGATCTCTAGCAAGACTGGCAGTCGACAAGAATGGGCGCGAGCATCTCGACGCCGTCGGGGCAAGGAAGGGACAGATCATAATTCATTGGTATCCAACCGTCCGCGCCTTTGTACCACCTCGCTGGACAACACAACCGCAGAGTGCACGGCCATTCCTCTCCCTTCAACCAGTCTCGGGCTGCTTCCCCTCCTCAATGATCTTCAGCAAGTCGTCGCGCTTAAATATCTTCGCCGCATCGGCCGCGCTCGGCCGTCCCGCCTCGCTGTCCGCTCCCCCCTTAACCAGCGCCTTGACAACCTCAGTATGGCCCTTGAACACCGCGCCAGCAATAGGGCTCTGTCCCTTGTCGTTGAGAGAGTTGGGATCCGCGCCACGTTCTAGCAGCAAAGTCACCGTCTCGGCGTGTCCATGGTAGGCCGCCAGCATGAGCAAGGTGTCACCGGCGTCGTTGGTGAGGTTCGCAGAGATGCCGGCGTCGACGTAGCTGGCGACGGCTGCGGTGTCACCGTTGCGAGCGAGGTCGAATATTTTGTGGGCGAGGTCGAGGGCTTCGGGGGGGAGTTGGGATGGGTCGGGCTTCGAGGTGGTTGCGGGGGGAGGGTTGCCTGGGTCCGCCATTGTTAATGCTGGGCTCAAGGTTCAAAGGCTGGGGGTGTAGATATTTGAAGGCTTCCTGTTTCTTTCTCCTCGTGGCAAGCTGCAAGATTGATGGGCTATGGCGGGCCAAAATCGCGTGCTAGCTCCATCGCACGGTCGAAAGGCCTGAGCTACCCGAAAAAGTTATGTTGCCCCTCCTAGCCAAATTAGGGTGGAGGGAGCGACATCACTTTTTCCATTAGCTCTTGGTGAGGGGCTGTGGGGTAGGGGTGCGCGGTCTAACTGCTTACAGAAAAGTTGACAGGCACGGACCCTTGGACGCAGGCGACTTCGCGATTGCCAAGAACTCAGTGACCGCGCCTCAACTCCGTCACCAACATCCACACTCCGCGTCAACGAACATCCACCCGCCCTCTCTCTTCCCACTCCCACACCACTCGTTTGTGCACTCAAATTCCACACCCGCACCATCGCCATCATGGCATCCTCTCCGCCTTCGTATGGCAACTCGCCGACCATCCCAAACCTCACCCTCCCGAAGAAGCGCGGCTCTCTCTCCATCCCCCCAGGCGCGCTCCCAAAGCGTCGCAAAGTCTCCACTGCCGGACCCTCGCATCTACGCCAGACGTCTTTCCCACCAGAGACTGCACCTGATGCCTCCGTTGACTATTCCAGCCGCGAGCCTTCGATCGAGTCGAGCGTGGCCGGTCCCATGAGCGCAGTCAGCGGTGCTGGGGGACGGAAGCGCAAGGGAAAGCGGCAAGAACGCTTTGGAAGTGTTGCGAACAGTGTCGCTGACAGTGTTGCTGATAGCCCCGCGGATGATGGTGCGGGCAAGACACCCGAGGCGGGCGAAGGCGGTGATGGCGACGAGGCGGATCCGGCGAAGGACGATTTTGCTGGCGCGATGGACCATCTCTTCCACGATACCATTCCTGAAGAGGACAGGCAGGAACAGAACAGGCGCATGGAGTAAGGCTTACGCTGCTCTTACGGTGCCATGCTAACAGATCTAGTGTGCTCATGTCGGTGTTCACCCCAGAACAACAACAGCGGTACACCATATGGCGCCGTGTCCGCCTTCGGTTTGACAAGGTAATTATTCCGTTAAAGAGAGACCGTAGACCAACAGCCCTAGGAACACGGTTCTCCGATCCCGAAGCAGTCCCGTCCGATCGCAGTCACTCTGAACGCCGCAGCGAAGAACTTCATCGGCGAGCTCGTCGAAATGGCTCTCCAGGTCCGGCTTGAGTGGCTGGCGGCCTGTGCAGAGCTCCCCAACAGCGAGCCTCTACCACCAAACCTGACACTTGCCCAACGCACAAGACAGGACCTCCGGGGTCCCCTTACGCCAGACCACTTGCGCGAAGCGTACCGTCGGTACAAGTTGGCGCGGATGGGAGGCACTGGTGGCATTCAGGGGCTGAGTGGGAATAGGCTGATTCAGACGAGGGCTGCGGTTGGTGGGAAGCGCGTATTCCGTTAGACAGGTGACTCTGCATGGATTTCGGGCTTAGCGGGGATGGGTTTAAGGCAAAAGGCTGGCGTTGAAGGTTGCTCGGTGGGGCATGGCTGGCTTTGAGGGTTACTGGGGGCGACTGTATGCATGGCAGTGGAGTCTTGATGAGAATTTGAGATGGCATTCCGCCATTTTCCACATCATTTGTGCGGTGTCTTTCTTCACTTCCGGTGTCCCCTAGTGGAAGCGGTACTATCGGCCATCTCCAACGCCCAAGGCGACGCGAGCGACTCTGCAACGTCTTCGACATTTTTTCGAGACATATTGCGATCGAGAGCCGAATCCCTCAGCGGTCTCGGAATGACCATGAGCCCTCGGGCCGTGTCATCAGATGGGCACATGCCGAGTGACAGAACCAGACCACAAGCATCGGCTTCCATCCTCTCTGGCTACCCTTGTGAGCAGTTACCCGGCATCACATTGGTCGTCTCCTACTGGTTTATCTAGCGGCTGAATCAATGCCGCTGACTTCGGCTGTGCGTACAGGCACTTCCTCATCTCAGGTCTGGACGTCGGACAGATGCCTACGGCGGTTCTTTCTCTTGAACTCAGTTCTTTCTCTGAGCTGGGTGATGGAGGTGCCTGACATGCGGCTATAACTGAATACTGAGCTATCGGCCGAGTAATCATGGGCGGACGCGATGTCCACGTCGTCCTATCCCTTCTACCAGGTAACCTCGTCGCGGGGAACTATCATCGCAAGCAAATTGGCAAAATTTGTGAAATCAACACGTTAGAATTGAAGCGTTCAATTGCCAGCAGCCGTGAGGAACAACATCATGCCATTCCTCTCGTTGACAGATGAACAAAACACATCCAGCATGACCCCGCTCCCCCCACCCCTCCCACTCAGACAACGTCAACTTCATACATCCCAACGATAGGCACATAGACCAAAAACAAAAAAGAACCACCCGCAGCAGTGAGTCGAACACTGGACTTGGAGATAAGTCGCGCTATCCACGCTGCAATCTCCCACTCTACCACTGAGTTACTACGGGTTCTCAGTGTCTGATTCGATGACAACATTTTCCAGCCTTTCATCCTTAGAGTAACTTCCTTCCCTCCCCCTTCCCCAACCCGATCCTGCATCCGCCCTCCTCCTCCCCCTCCGACCTAAACCCCAGACCCGCCTGCAGCACACCGTCAGCTGCATCGCCCGCATCATGTCAACCCCCCCCTCTAGTAAACGCGGGGTGCAGCCGCAGATCCCCTCAACCGCGCCGATCAGTCTGCCTTCGCCGCGCGCAGGGCTACAAATGCACCTCTAGTTCTACTCTGCGCAACCCCGCACCAGGTCGTCATCGCACCTGGCACTTCGACAAACGCAATTGACCATGCCCGGCCCGCCCACCCCCCGCTCATCCCCGCCGCAACGCACCGCATGCCCAGCTCTACTCACGACGTCATAGCAGTGTAAGGCCGCAACCTCCGCAGGCGGGGTGCATTATCAAGGCTCCCAGGTAGGTTATGCGCGTGACACTAGCGAGAGGCACAGTTCAAGGCCCCGGGGAGGGGTTGCTACTTCTTGCGATTCGCAAGCTGGCTGCCCGCCAGGCGACATCCCCTACAGTATCCCGTTCCTTTCTGTTCCTTTCAGCTCGGTCCCTCGATCCCTCCGTCCCCCCGTCTCCCCGTCCCCCCCGACCCCGCGCCGGCACACTCCGCCACCGATGGGCCAGTCTTGGGTGGCGGCCTGGCTGGCTTCTCCCGCGGGCGCGCCGGGCGGGACGGCTCCGCGTCTGGGGTACGGGGTGCCGGGTGTGCGGCGGGGAGGTGGGCTGGCGGTGCTATATATTATCGTATCATCGAGTGACTAATGGGCCGAGAATATATATTGCTTCGGGGGGGATGGAGCAAGGAGGTAAGGTCTACGTTGTGGGCAGTTACGGGCGATGAAATTATCCGAACGGGGAATTCGGGAGTGCAGTTGTCTGTTGTTGCGAACTGGTAATGAGATGGAAGGTTAATTGGCATGCGCTGGAGAGTAATTGGCATGAGCTGGAAGATGGAGTGTAAGTTGGTGGTTAGTTTGCTTTCTGCGTGAGGAGGCTTGCAGACAATGTCGCGTGGGCTTCTTGCGCGTGCGACGTGCGACAACCCCGGGACGTGGACGCGGAGAGTGGGTTCTGGAGCCAGGTGCTGCGTGGTGCATGGTGCTAACTCTGCTTGGTTGAGGGAGGAACGTCGTCCGACGAAGAGAGGGCGAGTTCCTGTGATCCTCCCGCGTCGCTCGTCGTTCGTCGCGATGCCGTCGCGACGTTCAATCTGAAATCTGAAATCGAGAGCGCGGCTGCGACATGACATGGGGACCCGTGCCGCGCGCGCCGCTCCATCGTCCACATCCGCGCCCGCCTCCGCATGCCGTTGCGCCATACGCACGCTCGGGGACGGATGAGCCCCTAACGTTGAGAGTGTGGAGATGGGAGTGTGGAGCCGGCGCATCGACGATGGCTGATTTGTCGAAAAATAGAGCCGCTGCAGGGCCCGTGCGGGCGGAGTTTGAAGCGTCGACTCGTTGACAAGCGAGCATATCAGCGGAATTGAGAAGGCTAGGCGCGAAATAGCCGGGGATGAGAAGATGAAAGAATAATGAGGGGAAAAGCTTGAAAGAGCCGGAAAGGCCCCGTCGTCAAAAACTGTGGGGCCGGCCAATTATTGCTACAGGGGCATTTCCATTTCCAATTCCATTCCCTCCGCCTCAAATGCCTCAACCCGTCTGCCGGATTGCGGGGGAGAGAGTAGAAGCGAGGTGGTATGGGGTTGACGGACATGCAAGCTGCCTTGAGGGAAATTCAGCTCGCGGCTGTCTGCTGTCGTTGTATGCTTGCTTCAGTACCCTAACATCCCCAGGCCAAGGCCCCCGCCCTTCGACCTTCCTGCACCCCAGATTAAGCTGTGCCTCAGGTCATGGAGCCACTTCTTAGCTGCAAAGGCTAGTGGCGGGCCGGCTCATACCCTTTCTCTGCCCGTTCTTGCGGGAGCATGTGTGGTGTGCGGGCGATGGTGCGTGAATATCAGAGAGCGAGCGTGTGCGGAGTATCCCAGTAGGATGTGGCGTACTGGGGGGAGCGTTCGTTCCCCGCAACTCGTCAATTCTTCATCAAGACGCTCAAATTAGGTTAGGGCGAGAGTGTCAATGTCAGTGGGCATAGATGTGGAGCTGTAGAGTTTGTGCGCAAGTTGAAGAAAAGTTGGTGAGAGTTGAGGACTTGGGGTCACTGGAAGCTTGCAAACTCCCCCTCTCCCCTCACTTCCCCTCCCTCTTTCACTCGCCCTTCCCCTCCCCTCCCCACCCCCCCCAAAGAGGTCCATGCGGGTGGTCTGGGAGAACGGCCAAAGTGGTCTGTGTGGACTTTTAGTGGTCCGGTGGATCCCTGTCCGTCTCCTTACTGGGTAAAGTGGTGAGAGTGGGAGCCCGTGCGGCCCTGGTCTGGCCCCAACCTGCCTGACCCTGAGATCACAGGCTCCCCTCCCTCTCTGCCTCTCTCTGCCTTTGCTCTGCTACTCTCTCAAACTGCTCTCTCCATTGCTCTTCTCCCAATGCTCTTCTCCCAATGCATCTCTATCGTCCACTGTTCGCCTCTCGTCAACCATAACCAGCTGCAAGCAGTCTCTCTTCACCAAAACTCAACTCATTTTCCCTAGACAAAAAGATCTTTGCCCTTCTGTCACTGACATTCAATTCATATGCCCATAACCCCCTCCCTCCCCTCTCATCTTCCACCCCCCTACCCCTCCTACAAATCCACCACACACATACCACCGCCCCCCTCTTCCCCGCCACCCCCCCCCCCAGTCCTTTCAACTGAGTACCCATGCCACTGCTGCCGTGAGCGCACTCCCGCACTCTCTTCAAAATCATCGCAACCCCACCCGGATGTCCAATGCCATTTCGCGCCGTTGAGAGATCAAACGAAACAAAAGTGATCGTGGGACAGGAGAGGAAAAACGGCCGGTTCAGAAAGAGCACGAGGTCCAATAAAGGGGAGCGAAATTCAATTTGATATCGGCCATCCTGCAGTCCTGCAGCCCGACCCCACGAAGGAGACGACACGACCCCCCCCATCACCATCCTCCGCACGCCGCCTAGAGGACGAACAAACTTCACGAGACCACGGGAGAAGCGCGTCTTAGCGCCACCGCAACGCACCTCCGTCGTTAAACCCCCCGTACCGTACACTCTCCGTCGCGCGCATCTCATGCGCCTCTCTCGACGAACCTTCCAAACTTCCTCGTCTGCACTCACACCATCCACCCCCGGAAAGGTCGGTTCCATCTCCCGTATTCCTTAACATCTTGCATATCCAATCCACCTCTCCCCCCCTCCCTCAACCACCCCATCCAACCAGGCTCTGCTCTTCTTCTTCTCCCTTTGTCGGTAGTCGTCTGCCTTTCCAAAGACCCCCCTGTCGCGTTTTAAACGTCCGCCGCTTTTCCCTTCCAGGCTTTGCCCCACAGAACCGTGGGCGCAACTCGACTGGTTAGAGAGCGAGGCAAGGTGCAGGACTGCAGGTCGCATCAGCAGCCGGTCGGCCTCGATCCATCATTTTGCAACCACACCCTAAACTCGAAATTCTCCTCAGCCTTTCTCATCCCATCGTTTTGTCTTTCCCTCCTCGCGGACCTGCTACGAGAGCGTTTTGCCAGAGCTGTCGCGACGGCAGGAGCACACTCTCCAGGGGCCATTCCTCCTGCAGCGCATCGAACCATGGGATTTTGCTCCCGCCTGGCTCCCGAACTCCTTCCGCAACGTACTCCCGAGGATCTCAACTCACCTGCGTAGAACTGTGCCATCGTGCCCGCACTCATTTCTCCCACCAATCCATCGCCGCCTTCTATGCAACGAACCATCCCGCTTTCGGCTTTTCCTGCGTACGCTTTTCGTCTTCAGCAGACTTAGACTGCCTCCCGGTTCTCCCGTTTTTGGCTTTGCGATTTTGGTAAATAATCCCCTTTCGCAGCGTTTTGTGGCCCCAAGTCTGTCGCATCCGCCGTCGCCGTCTGCTTATCACTCATGTACTGCAGACTCTAGACCAGATATCTGTACTTTAGACATTTGGTTCTTAGATCTGTGTGAGCCACCGTCGTTGTTTAACCGCCGCTAGCGTTTACCGCGGTTTCCCCGATGTATCCGTCTCTAACCTCTTGCAGACAGTTGGCGTTTCGTTATCGAAGAATTCCGACCGCTCAGTTTTTGTTTATCACTTGCATTCTGGTAAGCAGTCCTCTCGTCCGTTATTGATTTCGTTGTCGTATCATCTTGGATGCGAGTTCGTCGAGGCTGCCTCGAGTAGCGATTCCGAGCGCATCTGGGTCTCTGAGCCTCATCCTTGGCAGTCGGGATCGGGCAACATCTGACGGAGGCGCTGCCCGATCGCACACCCAGCTTTCCTAAACTGTGTTTGCTGGAAAGGTCCCGATGTGATCTCACGTCGTCTGATTTGCCTTGAATCTCGTCTTCCGACCTTAGCGGCATCCTGTGCTTCTTTCTGTTACACGGCCGTGGTTTCTAGCTCGTTGGCTTGTTAGTACAGTAGCCGTAACTGACCGACGGCTAGGTTGTAATCCCCAAGGACATAATTCAACTCGCCGAGACGACCGCTCGTACGGAACTGTAGCATAGGTGAAGGCGGACCGGTTTTCCTCATCACTTCTTTTCTCCAGCCCCCGCGGGACATCGACCACTATCACTTCCATCGTACTTAGGAAATCCGCGGCACTCTGGTGATTCTGGAATCCCAATATCAATTCATACCATCTCCAACACTATAGACCCAGGAACTACCGACACACCATCAGCCAATCCCCTTGACCGGCCTCGGAATCAGACTCCGTCGCGACCGCCTGTTACCCATATTACGTCTTCCCGACTGCGAGCGGTACTCAGTTGTGACCAGCGACCTGGAAGGCACTGCATAATTGGAGGTGCAACGTGCACAAATTTCCCGACGTTTCCTGCTTTCCGTACCTTCGCAGTGACAGGTGACCTGCAAGTGCT